TACAATCCCAAAATACCAGTCAAAGCAAAATAAAGCTAAGAAAGCTCTTGAACACAAGTCCATCCCCGATCAGTTAAGGAAAACAAAGGGAGTGGAGTGAACTAAAACTCAGTGAGGTTTCACGTAAAACGAGTAAGCACATAACCAAATAAGGGCATAATATAACCAAGCAAACACCGTATAGAACAATAACAATTTAATCACAGTTCAATTCAAGGATACGGGTGGCTTCCAAAAGCCAAATCCCCTTGAGCTTGATCATACTGGAGCCCGTTGACTCTCCGTCAACGTTTGTATTCACAAAATATAAAGTCCATAGAACACCATTTTCACCGATCTCCGTCCACCAGTCAACCCCCTACTAGGCTCGAACGCCAAACAGGAACAGGAATGGTAATACTCGAGTATACCAGAACTTTAGGATATAACTGAGCCGCAAGTCGGGAATTTCATCCCTGGTGGTACTGGACAACACAACAGGCTAGCACAGCTGCTATACCTCACCAGAGGACCTCAATTCAAGATTTCATCCCTGGCAGTGCTGGATAACACAACAGACTAGCACAATGGCTGTACCCCACCAGAAAACCTCAATTCAGGATTTCGTCCCTAGCAGTGCTGGACAACACAACAGGCTAGCACAACGGCTATACCTCACCAAAGGACCTCAATTCACATGCACATAAACATGCAAGTTCGCATACAGGATCAACTAATTCAAGTTCATACAGTAAACCAATTACACAGGCTAGAGAACGAGTGTAATAAAGTACACCCTCATCTTGTATAGAATAAACAAGAGTCACAGGTAAACAAGTCACGGATTGGAAATACAGATAAACCAGGTTAAGCACAAATCATGGGAGTGGTATACTCACCTGTCAAGCAATGCAGTAGTCAAACGTCAAGTATCTCGGTTACGACTACCTTCGTTTCCCAATCCTAGGACAATGAGTGAAATCGTTAACAAATTAGGTTCATTTTCCACTCAATTATAGGCTCATTAAGAGACCAAGTGAGCGGTTAAAACCATTTAATTCATCATGCAAACTTGGCCCAAAATGTAGTAAAAGTTCATGAAAAAACAAATTTAACAAGTGCATGAAAGTTGGGCAACAGAAAAGTTTCATTCAAGCTCAAAATGTTTTTCACGGGTAAAACAGTTGCGCCCGCGCAATTTTGAGAAAATGGCTATATCTCACTGTAGGAAGGTCGGAATCAGGTGCCATCGGTGGCGTTGGATTCGGCAGACCACTTTTGATTACTTTTTGTTTTTAGACTTTTTCATCTTATTGATGGTTCTTTTAATTATTCAGTCAGATTGATCATCTTAATTGAGAGACGATGTATGCAACAATTAATTCCGCACTTTTACGTGGGTTCTCCTTGAAGAGGTGATTTTCGGGTTCAGCGGATAGTACCTGAATGCGGGAGTAACTCTCTCCTAAAGTGGGTACGGCCTCACGGAAGTCACCTGCTCAAAGTGTCAATGATGGGGTAAAGTCCCCCAGTTTACCCCCGACGGTCTAGTTAGTTTCTATTGGAGGATAATCTTTTTAAAGGGTCTGTAGACAATATACCTTGTAGGAACCAAAAGAGAAAAATCCCTTCCTTCTAAGTAACCTCCTTGTATTTATAGGAGACAAACGGAGAGAAATAGCGGTTGGGATCAAATTCCCATGCCCTGACAGACTAAGCATGTCAGTATGTCCTACCAGGTCTGTCAGGTAGGTCCCATCAAATGTCTTGCCTCTCTACAGGCATCAGACTGTGACCTGGCCTCAGTGGTCCTATCAGGTGTCATGGGACTTCACGATGAACGCCTCGATAGCCGAGGCGTTCAAGATGACTGGTAGAGCCGGAGCGAGGCTCATCTCGGCAGGGTGATTGGGAACATGGACAAGCAGGATGGGGGAGCGGTCCTAAAATAAGCTGAAACGGGAAGGTCGAGGCAAAACTATCACCCTCAATAAGCCCCCCAAGCCTCGAGAGGTAGCAGGTCAACGGTCTACCTCCGGGGTTTTCGTGTGAGTAGGAGATCGCTGACATGTCAGATAAAGTAAGGGGAGGCAAAACGGGGGTCAGCCATCATGACAGTGTGAAAAGACGTGTGACAGGGAGTCAGAACGCCGATCAGTCATTAATGAGGAGAGTGGAAACGTCAGGGGAAGCTCAAGGGACACCGTCCTTTCACCTTCCCCCATACTTGTATAAATAGGGGGTGTTCTTCATTAGTATTAACCTTTCACCGTAAAGTTAATAGCACCCTCTATACTAAGTTGTCCGAGGTCATAGGGGGCATCCAAAGTGTGAGAGAGAGAACACCCAAGCTGCTTTAACTGCTCACCCCAGCCTTTCTTTCTCCATAATCAGTAAGTGACGCCCTTTCCTTTTATTTTTCGCACTATGACTCAAACTGCCCGTACGCATAGAGAGACAGTCAAGTCGAAATTCGAAGCGGCGGAGAGACCCGACCCGACAGAGGAGGAAGACAATCCAGCTACCCCGGAGGAGGAGGAAGTCGAAGTACCAGTTGAGGGCGAGGTGTTGCTGAAGCAGATCCAGGAAGTGTCCGAAAAATTATACAACGACGATCTCGAACCCGAAGTACCTCGAGATGAGGGAGTACAAGAACCGGCTACCCCTTCCGATCTCTCGAGCATTGACTTCGGCTAACTCCCGTTGTTCAACAGTGTCGTTGATCAGGCTACGGCTAACGAGGTGATCCGCAAGTACCCTTTTCGCCGGAATTATAGCATTTACATACCTCGACCGGATCAAGCAGCCGAGCGGCCCTCAAAAGGAAGAGTAGCCATCTATACGGACCAACTGGAAGCTAGGCTAAGAATGCCTACCACCAGATTCTTTCGGGACTGCCTCAGATACTGGGGTGTTAGAATCACTCAATTAGTCCCGAACTCAGTCCGAATTCTCATCGGTTCAAGATGCTCTACCGGGAGCAAGAACTGAGCCCCACCGTCAACCTCTTCCGTCGTTGCTATACCATCCATAACAGCAGGAATGAGAAAGAGTGGTTGTATTTCGGGAACTGAGGCAAGAGCGTACCGAAATTGGTGATAGACGCTCCTTCATCTATAAAGGAGTGGAAGCACAATTTCCTTTTCGTCCCTGTCGAGGATTTCCCAAGAAATTTTTGGTGGAGACCATCTATCTCGGCGAAGGACTCTTTTCTGGGGAAGCACGATGAGGAGAGTTTTCAAAAACTACTCGGGTCGGGTCTTAGGATTAACTGCTGGGCCTACCCCGAGGCAGTCCTCGTCAATGGGGGCATTAGTCGAGCACTGATCACTCCGGATCGCTTCCCTTATTTCTCTACTCGGTTTCAAAAACATTGTATTCTTTCATTCATCATTTCATATTGTTTTATTTCCTTTGATTCTTATTAATCATTCTTTGCTTGTGCAATAACAAGAGTTTCGGATCTGATCACTTCAGGAGTGGCTACGGTGGTTAAGCGGCCACATAAGCGCAAGGCCCTCGGTCAGACCTCGGGGGTTCAAAAGAAGAAGAGCGCTCTTGGCACTTCAGCTACCATCCCATTGACCACTGTCCCGAAAGATACCTCCAACACCTCGGCCATTCCGGAGGGGGTGGCCACCCATGGTGTGACAGTCGCCGCTCCATCCTTTCTGGGCCAGGGTAAGCAGATCCAAGCCCCAGAGAGGCCTGCCATTGGGTCTTTCCTCTAGAATCGACACTTCGTCCAGTCCGTGCCTGAAGGAGAGGACAAGAGGCATCCCGATTGGCACTGGTGCCCAGAGTGGGATGTTAGTGTCAATGATAGATGCAAAGATCCCCGAATTGCCCATCACCTCCTTGTCCACTCTAGCCTGCCCCGAGATCACACCTTTGCGAAGAAATTCACCATAGAAGAGCTGATGTAGAGCACTTCGGTGGCGTGGGCGTCTACCTCTGCTTTCTTGTCCGAGCTCATACAGAGGTATACCAACATGGTCGAGAACCAGCCTCCTGCCGAGCTCATGAACAAAGTATCTCGGCTTGAAAAGGAGTTGAAGGTGGCTGCGGAAGAAAAGGCACAGCTCCAGAAACAACACGACACCACGGTGGCCGAAGTGGAGCATTTTAAGGCTTCCATCACCTCCTTGGAGACTGCTCTCGAAGAAGAAAAGAAGAGGAGACAAGAAGAAAAGCAGTCATCCCGGGAAATTATAGAGAAAGCCGGCAGCACGGCCATCGAGGCTTTCCGCTCTTCCGAGACCTTCATGAAAGACCTTGGCGAGTTGACCTTGCTGAGCTTTATATTTGGCTATACCACGGCCATTCAGGATGTGGCTTCTTTCCTTACTCTGGAGCAGCTAGTTGTGTTGAAGGACAAGCCTAACTACAACGATAATGCTAAGGAGCTGTGCGACCGCATGGCCATTGGCATCTAGTCCGGACGGAATCTGGCCGAAATTAGAGAGAAATTTAATTAAGAAATGGCCGATTTCGAACAAGTTTCGGATGATGAGTTCGGCGGAGCTGCTGGAGGAGGTAAACTCAGCAGTAGAGAGGGAGCGGATTCCGCCGAGGTGGGTGGCTCTTAGATGAGCTTCCCACCCCGGCCTTTGTACTTGTAATCCTCCTTCGATAATCAATGAAAGTTATCTTTTGCTTCCATCCCAAATTGTCTTTTTTCAATTGTCTTTTTCATTTCGTTTCTACTTATCTTGTCCCCTTATTTTCTTTAACGACACCATGGAGTAATGTTTAAGAAAATAATTGTGTAAAACACTAAACACAAAGTAATGATGTCATTAACTTAACTGAACATTAACAACTCAAGGATAATACAACCGAAGATTTTCTGTATGCCAGGTTCAGGGTACCAGGGTACCATCCCGGTAGGTCAACTTATAATAATCATTCTGATTAGTCTCTACAACTCGGTATAGGCCTTCCCACCTCGAATTTAACTTGCCCTGTGGTTTAGATCGGCTGATGGAGTTCTTCCGTAGAACCAGGTCTCTTGGTCTGAACTAAAGGTGTCTGACTCGGACGTTGTAGTAATTGGCTAGGATGTTCTTGTACAAGGCTATTCGGGCTGCTGAGGCATCCTTTTTTTCCTCAGTTAGATCGAGGTCAATTTTTCGTTTTTCATCATTCACCTCAGCAGTGAAGGTTGCCATGCGAGAACTTGGAGTAATAAACTCAGCAGGGACTACGGCCTTAGATCCATAGGTTAAGGCGAATGGTGTTTCTTGAGTGGCAGATCTCGACGTGGTTCGATAGGACCACAGCACACTAGGGAGTTCGTCTACCCAAGAGGATTCGAGCTGATGTAACCTAGTCTTGAACCCATGGAGGAGCGTTCGGTTGGAGTTTTTAACTTGTCCATTAGATTGGGGGTGTCCCACCGAGGTGAAGTGTTGTTTGATTCCCAGGTTCTCACACCATGCTTTTAAGGGATTATCCGCAAATTGCTTCCCATTATCTGAGATGATGACTCTGGGCAAACTAAAGCGACAAACCACGCATTTTCAAAAGAACTTTTGAACGGCCAAGCCAGTTATGCTTCGCAGGGGCTTAGCTTCGACCTATTTCGTGAAGTAGTCGACGACAACAACTATATAGGCATATTGTTTGCTGCCCGAGGGAAGGGTCCAATAATATCTGTCCCCCATTGCTCGAAAGGCCAGGGGAACGTGATAGGGACCATGAGATTGGTCGATTGGTGGTGCTCCGGAGCATGGTGCTGATAAGAAAGGCAACAGAGTAGCAAAAGTTGGGCATCTTGTCTAAGAGTTGGCCAAAAATAGCCGAGAAGCAAGGTCTTTTTGACCAGCATCCGATAACCAACGTGAGCTCCACAGAGTCCCTCGTGTATCTCTTGAAGGATGCGCTCTCCCTCTTTCGGGGTGACGCATCGCAACCATAGGCCGAGATAAGATCGCTTATAGAGGCAGCCGTTGTGGAGTGCATATCGGGCCGCCTTGCGCTGCACTCCTCTTGCCTCGGTCTTGTCATCTGGAAGAATGTCTTGACCCAAAAACTTGACTAACGGGGTCATCCAAGTGTCCCCCGATGCCACCGGATAGACTTTGTCCTCCACGTAACCGGGTTCGGCCAGAACCTCCACGAGAACTGTCTTGTTGAGGGTAGAAAATGAAGTAGAGGCAAGTCTGGACAGAGCATCAGCTCGCCGGTTCTGAGACCGGGGTATCCCTTGAATTTCAAAGGACTCGAAATAAGCTGCCAATTGGTGGAGTTTAGAGAGGTACCGTTGCATGGATTCCTCCCTGGCTTCATATTCCCCTAGTACCTGACATACAACGAGTTGAGAGTCACTATGAGCCGTGATATGTCAGGCACCAAGTCGGCGGACTAGTTGCAAGCCCACGATGACAGCCTCGTATTCAGTTTCGTTATTGGAGGCGGGGAAATCAAAACGGAGAGCATATAAGTACGCATCTCCGTGAGGGTCTTCGAGGAGCAGTCCGGCTCCGCTACCCTCACTGTTAGAAGAACCATCTATATACAAGGCCCATCTTTGAGGCTCAAGCATATCCGACGTAATGTCTTAGTCCGCGGGAAGGGTGAGTTCTGCTAAGAAATAGGCAAGGGCTTGGGCCTTGATGGCAGTTCGCGACTCATATGTGAGATCATATTCCTCGAGCTCAATGACACACTTGGTGAGGAGTCCCGAGACTTCAGGTCGGGACAATATCTGCCAAATAGGCTGATCTGTTCTTATTCGTATGAGGTGATGTGAGAACCCGTAATTTTCTTAATTGCGAGGTTTTATTTTCTATTAATTGCACGTTTTTCCACATTTTATTTATTTGAAAAATTGTGAAAATAATTTTTATGAGTAAAGATGGTTTTGAAATCATTTTTTTCTAGTATAAGTTAGTTTATAAGGTTTTAAGAGTGTATACCGGATGGGGACCCACTAGTGCAGTAAGTTTGATAAAATTCGGTCAATTAGGTTAAGTTGTATATACCGGATTTAATTTATCAGGTGTAAGGAGATAATTAGAAATTACCTAGATGGATTATCATTGGAGAGACAAAAGGATAGAGTTGCATTAAATAAGGGTGACAAGTGTCACCTTGTGATTTATTCTTGACTTTGACCATCTTACTTACTTTTACCAATTAACCAAAATTGACCAACAATTCATCATTTTCTTCATCCTTATGGCCGAATATCTTCAAGAGAAAAGAAAGGAAAAAGTTCTCAAATTTCTTACTCCAATCTTGCTCAATCTAGCAAACCAACCGTTTAAATTTCCAATTTCTCCATAAAAACCCTTAGTTTAGTGATTGTGAGGTGGTTAGTGAAATGGTTTGGAAAACTAAGGTGCTAAGTTGTCTCCTTTCTTTGGTTTCAAGGTGAGTAGCTAAGGAATCTCTCTTTTCTATCTAATGATGTTTAATTAGTGGCTTGTGGTAGTCTAAGAGGTGATTTTGTGGGTCATTTCATGATTTTGGTTGAGATTGGTGAATTTTTCAATTTATTCATGAATTTTCTGTTTTTATATGTTTAATATTGTGTAGCCATGGATGATGGTCGGGAATGGTTTAGAATGAAACAATAGTGCGTAAATTGTGGCTATTTGCGGAAAATTTCCGCTTTGAAAGGAAATTTCGGAATTAGGATTTCAATTAACCCCATTCTGCCAAATACTATTTCCCCTAGTTAGAGGCCGAATTAGTCTTGGATTAAAACATTAAAGTTGTAGAGAATGATATTTTATAGTTGCCTGCAAAATCTCAGCCTAATCAGAGCAACATAGCCTGTGAAAAGACCGAAATACCCCTGTTGCCCTGTTTCTGTCCGAAACTGATAATCCGCTTCTGTAATTGGTTAGTTTGACCGGTAATACTATTGATTTCGTTGTTGATGTTTTCTTAAGAAATATATCCTGATATCTTAGCTTTTAGATGGCTTTGGAATCACTTGAATTGGACTCTGGTAGCCTGAATTATGGTTATTTAACCAGAATGCAGTTCGCTACCCTGTTTATGCGGTTCTGGTTTGGTACATTGAAATTTTGACCTAGTTTCACTACAAATGGGATTGAGTGGCCTTCTTCAACATTGTAGCCCTTTCTTTTAGTTTCGAAAAGATGTATATTACACATCCATCCGATAATCGTAGCGCCGGTTGTGTCCAATACGCTAAACGATGTCAAAACTGTTTTTGAGTTTTAGGGTTTAACTTTCATTTCCGGTCATTTTCCTAGCTAAATTTTGTACTTGAATGACTTTGAGCCTATTGAACGGCTGTTGTAATGAATTTATATTGCGTATGACTTTGGGATTGATTGAGTAAAATAATGAAACCATAAGTGGTTCGGGAAAATAGGTAAATACAGAGGGCATGCTGCCCAAAATTTTAGGGCTACACGATTCCTTCAATTGAGTTGATCTTAGTACAAATGAGGGGTTTTGGGGGTTGTTTGTAACCCTAGAACCAACTGTTATCTTTTTGCTCAAAAGTTATAGTTTATTCTTTTGTACTAGTACTTAACTTGGAAAGACGTACGACATGTAGTCGAGCCTCACTTGTACATTCCGTTTACTCGATTTTGGAAGTGAAACTTTCAATTGTTTTACTTTGATGATTTTAGGATTTCTTGGCGATTAAAGCCAGTTTGAAGTGAAAACTTTTGAAGTATCTGTACTTGAACCGGTGAGTGTACCACTCACCTCATTTGCTGTTTAACTTGGTTTCTACCCCTGCAATCTGCGATTTAAATGACTGCACTATCTGTTTATTCTGTTTGAGATGAGAGTGTACTTTATCACACTTGTTCTCTTGTCTGTCCATATGCCTATTTACTGTGTATGATCTGTTAACTGTATCTGAATCTGTTCGGACGTCGTTTGGAGGCTGGTATTCAACGACCTTTCTGTGACCTCTGAGCTCAACACCTATGGCTAGTTACTCAAGTCGGGCTGGCAAGGGCCTGGTCGATTAGATAACGAACCACAGTAGTCTGTTTTGAGATCTTTGGGTATTGAGACTCTTAATTCCGGTATAGAGCGCAATCTCACCCTTTTCTGTTACCTTTGTTTTCCTTACAGGGTTCCATGTTTTGAAACCAAAATTTTTGGAAGAAAAGAGTTAAGTTAGTTATAGGACTTCTCTTGCTTATGCTCCTTTGTAATTGAAACCTTAATTGTATTTTGTGTAGCATGAATACTTTGGCTTGTATTTTTGTTCCTTTGTTCAAGACTCCGATGTAAATATATGTAGTTTCCGATTGTTCGTTTTCCTTGGATCCTTTCGCATACTATGTTGGGTTTGTGTGTATCGACTCCGTAGTTCTGGCGAGAGTTGGGCAGGCGGTCCGCCGAACCCTTTGGTTCGTCTTAGGGTGAGGTGGGGCTGTCACAGGTGGTATCAGAACCACTTCGCGTGGTCTCTGCGCGGAGAGAGTTTGGGCCAAGTGGTGTTATGGTCCTGCTTTCGTGAATGCGTCGAAAGGTATAAGTGCTCTTTTGAGCGTAAGCTATGAACCGTGCATGTCATAAGTGTAAAAATATTTATCATGGGACTTGAGGAAGTTAGGTATGTATGTCGGGTAGGAATCTTTAATATGGATGATTTACGCTTGGGACCGGCCGGCTCGAGTTGTGAATTATCTTAGATGGGATTCTTACGCCCGGATACGAAAGAGATGAGAGCCTAGGTTAGAAAGGATTGGGCGAACTAGAAATGTCATTCTATGGAATTTCGTGTGATTTGTTCAGGTGTAGTTAAGCGTGATCAACCTTGATTAAGATATAAATGGGGTTGTTCTCGTAGATTATGACGGAGCCCTAGAGGGGGAAAAGCTTTTCGTGAGTTATTTTTGTACTCGTGAACTAGTCTGTCTATAGTACTTTTGGATGACCCCGCTACTTTCATGGATCTCTCATATTTGTATCTAATTGACTGCTACTGTGTGACTGGTTCGGTACAGTTGTGTGTATATATATGTTTTTGATCTGTGAGTACCTCTTGTTATTTGCTTATGCCTATACTTATCTTTAATATTATCTTTGCACCTCGACCTTAGATTGACTTAGATCAATGGTGGGCACTCGTAGTGGACGAGACTGCGGGCGTGGAATTAGGCAACCCACGTCTGAAAGGGGCACTGGGGGAATCTCGTCTGGACCAAACCCTGAACCTAGGGTTGATCCCAACATCCAAATAGCTGCTGCCATGCAGCAAATGACTGATTTGCTAGCTCAAGTGGTGCACCAACAGGGTCACAATCCTAACTCCAACCCTGGGAACCCTGGTAATCACGTGGAGAGCGAGGACTGGACCGTCGAGAGGTTCCAGAAGTTTGCCCCACCAAAGTTTATTGGGGGACCCGATCCAGATGTAGCCGAAAGGTGACTAGAGAAAATGGTGAATATCTTTGCTGTCCTGCACTACACGGAGGAACGGCATGTGACTTTTGCTGTTTTTCACCTGGAAGGGGCGGCCCGTTCCCGATGGAACGTAATACGACAAAAGTGGGACCGAGAGCAAATGCCCAGGACTTGGGTGAACTTTATGCGGGAGTTCAACGCTAAATTCTTCCCTCCTCTAGTTCAAGAACAAAAGGAGGATGAATTTATCCGGTTTCGTCAAGGGGCCCAGACAATGGCTGAGTACGAGAGCCAATTCACTCGGCTATCCAAATTCGCACCCGAACTTATCGTGGCCGAGCAACGAAGAATACGGCGATTCGTCTAGGATATGAACGTGGAGTTCCAGGAAGATCTAGCCATATCCCAAATTAACGCCTTCAGCGATGCCGTAGAGAAGGCGCAACGAGTAGAGAATGCTAGGTTGCAGGTGAAAAACTTTCAAGTCAAGAAAAGGGGCTTTCCCGGGAGTAGCTCTGAGCAAAAAGGTACAAGTATATCCCCTAAGATTGGAAAGGAAAATGGGGGAGTACGACAACCGGGGGTGTCGCGTGATGTCTCTCAGGGGGGACCGGTCTCTGCTACTCGTGGTCTCTGTGAATATTGCGGAGGGCCAAATCATACGGAGGCAAATTGTTGGAAGAAAGAGGGAAAATGTCTGCGCTGCGGAAGTACCGATCATCAGATTGTTGACTGCCCAGTTCGATTACGAAAAGAAAAAGGGACCCCGCAACCAACTAAGACTAACCCTAGACAGTCGGAAAAGGAAGGGACTGGATTGAAAATACCGGCTCGGATATATTCTTTAGAGTACCATCAGATCCCTGACTCGTTTGAGGACGTAGAAGGTACCTTAGATTTTGAAAGATTCCGTTGATAAGAAAATTTTGAGGACGAAATTTCTTTAAGGGGGAGAGAGTGTGAGAACCCGTAATTTTCTTAATTGCTAGGTTTTATTTTCTATTAATTGCACGTTTTTCCACATTTTATTTATTTGAAAAATTGTGAAAATAATTTTTATGAGTAAAGATGGTTTTGAAATCATTTTTTTCTAGTATAAGTTAGTTTATAAGGTTTTAAGAGTGTATACCGGATGTGGGACTGTTGATCTTGGTTGATCAGTCCTTGGTTTTGATGATTAACAAACCAAAA